TCTTTAGCCAATTTCATGCTCCAGGGCATCATTCAAGGGAAAGAAACATGTCTTGCATCCACATGTTTGTTGACACAGGTGATACTCAGTTGATAGCATGACTAGTGTGAGAAGTTACAATGTCTGATTGTCAGTAAGGCAAGCAACTCAACTGACAGTTATTTTTCATTTAGAAATTACTGCTTTAGAAACTTACATTACAAAAGAATATATAGCAGTAAAGTGTCATCATTAATGCCTCAGAAAAATGTTGTTTTCCCTTGTATTTGTGTTTTTGGTGGCATTAGTTGATTGGCGCTCCTATTTCTTGTGGTCATCTGGACTTTCAATCTTATCCCATTATGGTTCCATATTTTCAAATGTCGTATATGTTACAATTAATGTAATTGTGATAATTACAATAAAGCTCATTGTCCACCGCACATTTGTCATCCAATGTACTTACAAACTATACTAGTTCTACTCTTTTTTTATCAACTTGAACTAAAGATATGTGGACCGGAATTAATTCCTACATTAAGTGGTATTTCTACAGACTTTCCAGAAAAAGCTTGGGTGTACGAACTTAAATGTGAACAAGTGCATGATAGTGCAATGGGGTCATGCCCATTATATCCTGAGATGGTTTCTCGCTTTTTTATCCCACCAGAAATAAGCTCAGATGGCATTCAAAGAATGCAGTATATCCTTCCGTTTGTAAGGGTTAAACATAGTTTCAGTAGAAATGAAGCTTTTCAAGGTAGATAGATGCCACTGAACTAGCTGCTACCATGTAGAATGAAAAAATTCTAGAAAAAGAAAAGACACCCTAACATCTTTTACATTTGTATCATTATAAATCCTAAGCTCCATCCTCCCACATCACAATTTGGTTATCAACTATCTGAAGCATAACATCTTAGCAAACCTTCTGTGCTAGACATTTCTTAGACATTGGAAAAAGAAAGGCTTCAAGAGTATTATCTTTCTCCTCCTTTGTCAGGGACCTAAGATCACCCTACTAAGTTTGTAATTAAGACATTATTCAGCATCGCAACAGTAACCACATGATCTTTGGTCACTCTTGACCAACTAACCGGAAAATAAACTATGACGAATAAGCGAGAAGATACACCGCAATCATCAATCTTCCTATTCTTCATTTTGTTGTGAAAGACATTTTGTCCCACAAATAAATGTCAAAACCATCCCATAAACCTATTTTAGGCAGATTATGCAAAGAAACTTTTCAGCAAGCTATACGGATGCAAATTTCTATGGAATGCAACCAAAGGAAACAAAAAACCCTTAATTCCGGCCAGCTGCTATACATTTTCTATGGAAGACAAACATTACAAAACCTAAACTTTTTCTCCAATCTCAGTTTGATATCATACTTCATCTTTAAATATTGCATCTGTCAACTATAATTAAAGCAAAAAGCCTGGTGGGGCGGGCAGAGGCTAAAGCAGAAGAGATCTTGGTTGTAAAGACTTTATTCCACATATATTCTTTGGATTTTAAGAATTCAAGCACTTATCAGTTCTCTTTGTTCAGAAGCCAATTAGAGAAGCACTTTAAGAGATCTCCAAAAGCTACAAGTGGTAGATTACTCTATTACCCTTTTTTTTTTCATTCTCACTGAATAAAACACAACAAACTGATCTTCAAAAGTCATTATTCTGAACTAGTATAGAAACCTTGTTGGATTTATCAGATTTAATATTGAGATGCTAATAAGGAGAAAAGAGATAGTGGAGACGTTCCAATAAAATGTTTAGCAAATGAAGAAGGATAAAGACCAAGAAAAAAGGGAAGGGGGAAATGATTTACCAGATTAACAAATCAGAAGCACGACACAAGCTGCTAGATTTTCCAGAAAGAGATTTTTAATGAACATCATGCAATATAACCTTGATGGGGTACTTCAGAAAACAAGTTTGGCCAACAAAGAAGCAAAAGATATTCACATGAGAAACAGCCATTTACTTAGGGAAAATTGCCGATCTTCTTTAGCGTCTTATCAGTGGATACTCCAATCTGGTTCAGATGAAAAAATTAGAAAGGTGAAAAAAAGCAACTTTGCTTGAATACAGTTCAAGCGTTTTCTTTTTCTTCTTCTAGATTTTGAGGTTAGCTATGTGTGAATAAAAGGGAGGGGGCACGCATAGGAGTCCAAAATGGAATGAAAAGAAGCCCATGTAAACAGTGGTTTTCCTCATTCTTCACTTTGAGCTGTTTGATTTCAAGAGATGTGGCAGTGTAGTTCACTAAACTAATTTTTATGGCAATCATTACAGCAGGTACTAAATGGCTGCCCCCATAAATCCATCTATACTGGTCCAACAATAAATGTCCCTAAGACAGAGCCAATATGTCAACTATACACTAAATGAACAAGAAAGATGGTGGGAAAGCTTGGACAAGTACAAGGTTTTATTAACCGGTCGGTTTCCTATATAAGAGCATAAATAATCACGATAGGCTACATTTCTTCAATCTCACGTTCACTACGTATTTCATTCATTTGCATAATATTTAAAGAAGTCCACACCAATTACATATGAAAAGATACTGATCTCGACAAGTCCGAAAAGCACTTAGGGTTACACATTTTTTCTAACAATACTCCACCAACTTAAGAACACCTTTAAACAGAGAATTGGTCATATATATATTCACGGTTTTTAACAGTCTACTATAGGATTTAATACGCTCTGCAACTATTTTAGTCATCAAGAATCACTAAAAGAACCAGGAATCCTTAATGCATCAAATATCTCTGCAATTACCCACATGTAGAATGTGGAATAGCATGATTTCATTCATGCATACCTTGAAATTGAAGCTTTTAACCAACCTTCAATCTATAAACTCTTTCCTAATCCAAGTTCACTAAAACTATCACTACAGGTATCACGCCAATATACATTCCTGAGTTAAAACTCTGTATTTCAATCTTCAAGAAATGACCTTTACTCAGCTTTCCACATACATAAAACACGTAAATGTCAAATGCAAGAAAGTCAGAATCTTACAATATGCAACTGGACAAAGCAAAACCGAGACACGGTATTGTCTAGAAAATACATAAACTTGAGGTATACGTACCCTGCCCGATCGATTATCCTCCTCGATATCTTCAGCTTTTTGACAGACCCTTTGTACAACTCCTCCAAACTACACATCAAAACAGTCTCCACCGGGGCCTCCTTCCTCATCCCACCACCTCCAGAAGTCCCCACTCCGCCACCGGCATTTCCAGCCCCGCTGCTGCTGCCACCCATTGTAGTACTCCTAAAGAAATACCCATTATTACTAGCATTTTCCCTCCCAGCCCCACCGCTCCTCCCGCTACTACTCCCACCGCCACCGCCACCACCAGCATTAGTCTCATTCCCAAACAGTTCAGCATATATGTCATCAGCATCCCGAGGATTAAACCGGAAAGACGGGTTGGGATGCTGCTGCTGGTTATGGTGGTGGTGGTGGGGCCTATTAGCATAGAGCCCACTGCCACGAGGCGGCGGAGGAACTTGACCGGATTTGAGGGCTTCTTCACCGTAAAGATCATAGATCTGCCGCTTCTGGGGGTCGCTTAAAACATCGTAAGCTTCGGAAATTTGCTTGAATTTGGCCTCGGCTTCTTGCTTGTTGCTGGTAGGGTTCTTGTCGGGATGCCATATCATTGCTAATCGCCTGTACGCTTTCTTCAAATCCTCGTCGCTTGCATTGCGATTTACCTTCAATATATTGTAATAATCCACCCCCATTTCTGGGATTTCTTTCCTTTTTTTTTTTTACTGGGATTTTATGAAGCTTTGAAGAAGAAGAAGAAGAAGATGGCGGAGAAAGAGGTGGTGGATTCGGTGGAAAGTGCGGGCTTTGGCGGGGATGCGAAGTATGTCACCGTTTTTTTTGCGGTGGTTTTTACCCTTCAGCAAATTTCAATGGAATGTCTCTCATCTTTTTTGGTTGGTTTTTAGGGATTTTCTATGCAAACTTTGGTAAGTGTTTGGATTTCTTATTATGTACGCGTAATTGTTTATTTAAGTTTGATTTAACTTCTTAATCAAATTTGAATATTATAACAAAATTTGATTCGTTTCTTTTTCAAACATAAAAATGAAATTTTGAACAGATATTTGTTAAATTGACATCATATATAAAGTATTGAACAAAATTTTATTGAACATTATAGTTTTTTTTGTTAAAAGTAAGAGATTATAAATCCAACATCTCTTATTTACAATTTTTTTTTAACTTATAGTCGTTACATATTGATAGTCATTGAAATTGACAAACTTTATTTTACATATAATGTTCGGGATTGACAAACAACAAAAAAATTTATTTGGTTAGTGGATCATTAATATATACGAGTATCAATGTCATTCTTTTAGAATAAACCAGTGATTATAAGTTTTTCTTCATTAGCTAAGATATTTGAGTAATTTTAATAGACTTCTCATGACACCAAATCAAATTAAAAAATTTTGATGGGATTAATTTAGTTTCTCTTTAGAAGTGACTACTTAAATGTCTAGTCATCAATTCTTTATAATTTTGCTTATCAATCTATTTGGGAGATTTAAGAGGCATTGACTTATTATTAGGCCTTTTTTCTTTTGAAAAAATGATAACAAAAAGATAAGTTACTTAATCAAATTCAAAAGAAAATATTCAAAAAGTGTAAGGAATCAAGAGTTGAATTGTCATGTTGAGATTCTAACCTTTTCAAGAAGGGAAAAAAAATTTGAGGTCCTAGAAAAGGAGATATAGTGGCTGGCAAAAGAAGTGTAAGATTTTTTTTTTTTTGGTTTGTTTTAGTTGGCAAAATTTTTTTATTTTTTCATCTAAACTATACAAAAAAAAGGTTTATTTTAGGGTACACAAGAAGCTTGAAATAGGGGGTGTACGTAAAATTTCCTTAAACCTGAGGGATTTTCCTGAAATTATAATAAATATCAGTAGGACACAATTTAGAAATTTCACTCCTATTCCAGTACTAATTCGGATTTAATTTTACCGTTGGTAGCGCCACTCTTCTTTGAGAAGGAGCGGGCGGAATTCGGAAACTATCCGTTACGGGCCACCGCCAGAACTCATTCCTACTACTACTATTTAAATGGATCCCAGCCATACCTATCCCCATTTTTCTTCCGTGAACCAAAAAAAGTTGGTATTTTCTGATGTGAGAGACGAGAATTTGGGAGCCCTAGGCAGAAGAAGCCGCTGAGATGAGGAGAATAAGAAAAAAGCTAAATTTTTGTCAGGTTAGTTTTCTGTTTTTCTCTTACTTTGTTACGGTTTCTTTCTTTCACTTTGTTTCTTGCTTTTTATTTTTTCGGTGAATTTCTTGCTGGGAATTGTTGAATATTGAATTATTTTTGCTTTTGTTGTTAATCGACAAATTTTGCTTTCGATCATGTGCTGTCTGTGTTGGTTCTAGACTTATAGCCGAGTTGTTTGAGAAAATGTCTCTGTGATCGTTCCTCTGTTTGAAAGATGTCTATCTCTTCTTCTTCTTCTTCTTCTTTTTTTAGTTTTCGTTCTTTTGTAAATTTTACTTGGTGAAATTTCCGTCTTCTTGACCAAAGGAGCAGAAGTTCAGACAGTTCCTCCATGTTAGTGCAGAAGCTTTCCCTTGTTGCCAAAAAAAAAAGAGAAAGAAATAACTTCTATGTTCGAAAGCACATTAATTGAACAGGGGAATTAAGTGTCCATGTAGTAACTCAAGACTTTGGCTTGCAAATCAAAACAAATAAAAAATAAATGAATGTTGGAATAAGGGACAGCGTTGCATGGGAATTAATATTCATTTATTTAGTAAGCTAACACCTTTTACTTATTTTACATATGATGGCTAGCAGTATTAGATTAATATCCTAATAACTTGCCTCACAATGTTCTTAAAATTAATTAAGCAGTATACTAGAGAGACAAAAACTGAATTTGGCCAGGACAAATTAGGACTGTCCGAAACTATGAAGTACATGACAAGAAAAAACAAGTATAACTCATGCAAAGCATTGTAAGATTTCCAATCATGGCATAGTGTTTGGTAAGTTCCTGATGAAAACTAACGAGCAAAGTACCCTAGGATTGAAAAGTCTAAAACTCATAAACCAAAAAACCAGGCTTTGAATTCTATATTTCTATTACAATTTTAAATAATCTTTCATCAAAATTACAGCAAGAAATAGAGAAATAAAGAAATTCAAAAACAAAAATACACTATATAACCAGATTACACATCTGAATTCATACTTCAATCTGAAAGAAACTATAAAGCCTTACCAATTAAAAAAAAAAGTACTTAGAGGAATAAATCAGTTCATCATGCATTAAGTATTTTGTTCCTTGACAAAATTGGTTCACAACTCACGAACACTTGTGTTGTTTGAAGGATATACCATTTACTCTTTGGATGGCTTATTTTATCTACTCTTATGAGTGTTTTTTTTGTAAGCCTCAAAGGGGCGAAAGATCTATTTTTCAAACAATATGATGTTTGTGAGTTGTGAACCAACTTTATCAAGGAACAAAATACTTAATGCATGATGAACTGATTTACTGCTTTTAAGTAGTTTGTTTTTTGTTGTTAAAGCTTTATGGTTTCTTTGAGATTGAAGATCGAATTCCAATGTGTAATCTGTTTATGCATTGCGTTTTTGTCTTTGAATTTTTTGTTTCTCCATTTCTTGCTATACTTTTGATGATATATTGTGTAAAATTGTTGTAGAGTTCTAACCTCACCTTTGTTGATTATTAATATTTGAATTTTATATTTTAAATTACTGTGCTTTTTTTTTTCCTTTGAACTTACAAAATACTATTCCATGAGTGAGAATCATTCATGCTTAGTACTAATTATTTTCTTGTTTTTCCTCCTCATTTGACACAAACCAAGTTTTGTCTTCTTTAGTTAAAGAAAATAATAGAAAAAAGGAGTTGAGGTTTTTGATCTGATAAAATGGATTCTACAAACAAATACTAGTTTTCTGATATTTATTAAAGCTATAACTTGAAGTCAATGGAGTGCCTGGATGATTAGAGTGTAGCATCAAAAGTCAGAATACAAGTGAGCTGTTTTGTGTGGGAATATAAAAGTAAAAGAGGGAGAAGAGGGATTTGCTTTCTGGTACTTTGCTAAGCAGTTCAACCTGGAAACTCTTTAAGGTGTCAGTCTAAGGGAAATTGCAGAACCACCTACCTGAAAAAATTGTTGTTGTAAACTTCGAACATTTGGGGGTTAACCCTCATTAATAACGATGTTAAGGACCTATTCATGGAATTTTTAGAAAATTTTTTTCTTTATAGAGAATTTAGTTTTTAATGTTATGGATTGAACCTGGCAGCTTTTCATTGCTTTTGTCATGCGTGTTTGTTCTCCAGTCTAATGTTCTTGTTTGCTGGTGGAGTCTATGTGTGTGTGTCTTTCTTTTTGTGTATGTGAGAGAGAGAGAGAGAGAGAGAGAGAGAGAGAGAGAGAGAGAGAGAGAGATGGGCAGATTGTGGGGGGAGGTCCTAGAGCTAGGGAAAGTTTCAGGAAGGTGAGATTCACAAAATCTTTCTTATCCTTGTGTATTTGTATGAAATGTTGAATTAAGCCTCCTGCATATTTTATAGCAGATATCAGTTTTTAATAAGTAGTTGCAATTGTAGGCTGTCCATAACTGTATCTCCTCTATTAAAGGTTTTGCTCATTTGCCTTTCAGACACACAAAGGTTTTTTTTGCATGTAAACTTAACTAGTCACTTTTATTAGTTAGTTTGTAAGTGTAGTAGAACTGGACCATCTAAGGGATACATCTAGTTTCTTTTGCATGGATGCCTGGGTGTTGGGTTGATCTTTTGATGATTGGATAACGTTTCAATCTTTATTTTGGACAAGTGCCTTTCGTAAGAGGAATACTGAACTACTGCATCCTAGTGAAAGCAAAGAAGGCATTTAATTTGTCGTCCAAGGAGAGGTTAGTCTCAGACTACGGAAAGCATGACATTGAGGACTAGATCTTGACTGAATCTTGGGATATAAGACAATGTGCACTGTGCTGGATTCTAAGATAAGGATAATCTACACCTGGGAGCGGCCGGCCTGAGTTGTGGATTAACTTTATTTTGGTTCCATAGAGTGGGTCACCATATGATTGTAGAAGAGAACTTTGAGTGAGAGAAGTGTATAGATTTGGCACTACTAAGATGAATATCCAGATTCTGAAGTAATTATGGTTTAGTGTGTATTGGCTCATTGTTGCAAGGGCTAATATCGAAAAGATGTCCAACATGAAGATTGAATTGATTTTAGAATGTGGTTGTAGTGCTGATCTTTGGTAGATGTGTTTTACGATGGATCAATTTTTGCTTAGTAAGCTTTATTTTCCTTCCATTGTTTGGCATAGTCATTAATATCTATGCTTGGGATTTGTTTTCAAGTACTAAGCTTAGCGGTTTGACCTGGAAAGTTTCTTTATGGTTATTAGCTTAGGGGCAATTGCAGAATCATTCACCTTAGAAAAGCTGAAAATCTAAGGCTGGCGGAAGTTTAGTTTAGATGAAATATTGAGCTTTTGGGTGTGCCTGTGTGTTTTAAGAAGCATCCATAAGACACTAGAATAATTATTGTAGCTTCTTGCTGGGTCTTCAGAATTTTTTATGCTGAATTTGCTGTAAGGTTCTAAGTGAGATAACAAGTAAAAAGATTTCATTATGATTGACTAGGTAATACTGACTTTGGCTTGCATATCAAAACAAACCAAATGCTAATGAATGACGGAATAAGGGACAGCGTTGCATTGGGAATTAATATTTATTTAGTAAGCTAATAACTTTTACTCACTTTACATAGGATGGCTAGTGATATTTGATTTATGTTCTAATAACTACTCCTCATAATGTTTTTAAGAATAATTAAGCAGTCTACTAAAGGGAAACAAAAAAACTAAATCTGGCTAGTAGAAATTAAGATTGTCAGAAACGTTTTATGTTGAGGCACTATGAAGTGCATGACAAGAAAAAAACAAGTGTAGCTCATACAAAGCATTGTAAGATTTCCAATCATGGCATAGTGTTTGGTAAGCTCTTAATGAAAACTAACGAGCAAAGTCTCTTAGGACAGAAAAGTCAAATACTCATAAACCAGAAAACCAGGCACAGAATTCTACATTTATATTACAATTTTAAATAATCTTTCATCAAACCTATAGCAAGAAATGGAGAAATGATGAAATTCAAAAACAAAATTACAATATAAATCCAGAATTACACATCTGAATTCGTACTTCAATCTAAAGGAACTATAAAGCCTTACCAATTAAAAACAAAAGTACTTAGAATCAGTTCGTCATGCATTAAGTATTTTGTTCCTTTATAAAGTTGGTTCACAACTCACGAGCACTGTATTGTTTGAAGGATATACCATTTACCCTTGGATGGCTTATTTTATCTACTCTTATGAGTGTTTTTTTTGTAAGCCTCAAAGGGGCAAAAGATCTATTTTTCAAACAATATGATATTTGTGAGTTTGTGAACCAACTTTATCAAGGAGCAAAATACTTACTGCATGATGAACTGATTTACTGCTTTTAAGTAGTTTGTTTTTTGTTGTGAAGCTTTATGGTTTCTTTGAGATTGAAGTGCGAATTCCAATGTGTAATCTGTTTTTGCATTGCATTTTTGTTTTTGAATTTTTTTATTTCTCCATTTCTTGCTATACTTTTGATTACATATTGTGTAAAATTGTTGTAGAATTGCAGAGTTCTATCCTCCGCTTTGCTGATTATTAATGTTTGAAATTTATATTTGAAACTACTGTGATCTTTTTTTTTTGTGTTCCCTTTTAACTTACAAAATACCATGCCATGAGTGGGAATCATCCATGCTTTGTACTCATTAGTTTCTTGTATTTCCTCCTCATGTGGCACAAACCTAATTTTTTTTCTTCAGCTAAAGAAAATACTAGAAAAAAAGGAGTCAAGGGTTTTGACCCGATAAAATTGATACTACGAGCAAATACTAGTTTTCTGATATTTATTAAAGCTATAACTTGAAGGTCTCAATGGAGTGCCCTGGATGATTTGAGTGAGGCTTCCAAAGTAGGAATCCAAGCATGGGGTGAGTTGAGTGAGCTGTTTTGTGTGGGAATATAAAAGTGAAAGGAGGAGAAGAGGGATTTTTTGCTTTGAGGTACTTCGCTTAGCAATTTGACCTGGAAAGTATTTAAGGTATCAGTCTAAGGGAAACTGTAGAACCACTTGCCTGAAAAAGTCATGGTTGAAAACTTTGAACCTTTAGGGGTTAACCTCTTTATTAATGATGTTAAGGACCTATTCATGGAATTTTTAGAAATTTTTTTGCTTTATAGAGAATTTAGTTTTTAATATTATGGATTGGACCTGGCAGCTTTTCATTTCTTTTGTCATGCTTATTTGTTCTCCAGTCTAATGTTCTTGTGTGCTGGTGGAGTGTGTGTCTTTCTGTTTGTGTGTGTGTGTGTGTGAGAGAGAGAGAGAGAGAGAGAGAGATGGGCAGTGGATTGGACCTGGCCGCTTTTCATTTCTTTTGTCATGCTTATTTGTTCTCCAGTATAATGTTCTTGTTTGCTGGTGGAGTGTGTGTCTTTCTCTTTGTGAATGTGAGCGAGAGAGAGAGAGAGAGAGATGGGCAGATTGTGGGGCGGAGGTCGTAGAGCTAGAGAAAGTTTCATGAAGGTGAGATATTCACAAGATCTTTCTTATCCTTGTGTATTTGTATGAAATGTTGAATTAAGCCTCCTGCATATTTTGAAGCAGATATCAGTTTTTAATAAGTAGTTGCAATTGTAGGCTGTCCATAACTCTATCACCACTATTAAAGGTTTTGCTCATTTGCCTTTCAGAAACACAAAAGTTTTATTTGCATGTAAACTTATCTAGTCACTTTTATTAGTTAGTTTATAAGTGTAGTAGACCTGGACCTTCTAAGAGATGCACCTAGTTTCTTTTGCATGGATGCCTGGGTGTTGGGTTGATCTTTTGATGATTGGATAATGTTTCAATTTTTGTTTTTGACAAGTGCCTTTTGTAAGAGGAATACTGAACTACTGAGTCCTAGTGAAAGCAAAAGCATTTAATTTGCCATCCAAAGACAGGTTAGGTTTGAGGCATGAGAAATTGGTATAATTACTTTAGGTAGCTCAAGCTAGGATTGGTTTCAAACTGTGGAAAGCATGAAATTGGGGGCTGGATCTTGACTAAATGTTGGGATATACGACATAGTGCACTGTGTTGGATTCTAACATAAGGACAATCTACACCTGTTAGCGGTCAGCTTGAGTCGTGGATCAACTTTATTTTGGTTCCATAGAGTGTGTTGCCGCATGATTGTTGAAGAGATTTTATGTGAGAGGTGTGTATAGATTTGGCACGACTAAGATGAATATCTTGATTCTGAAGTAATTATGGTCTAGTGTGTATTGGCACATTGTCGCAAGGGTCATTGAAAAGTTGTCCGACATGAAGATTGAATTGATTTTAGAATGTGGTTGCAGTATGGCTGATCTTTGATAGATATGTTTTGGGTTGGATCAATTTTGCTTAGTAAGCTTTATTTTCCTTCCATTGTCTGGTTTAGTCAGTAATATCTATGTTTGAAATTTGTAGTACTAATCTACCTTGGATAGAGTTTATATTTTAGCATTCTTGGTTAACATGGTGGCTTTTGGTTGCTTCTCTCATATTCAGTACATCGTCTATAATAGATTGCAGTCTTTATACATGATGGTTTTGCAACTGTAGGCTGTGCATGTAACCTAATGATCAATTAATTAACAATGGTTTTGCTCGTTTGCAATTCAGAAGGTCAAGGAATGGTTTATTAGCTTGTAAACTTGACTAGTCACATGTATTAGCTAATAAGTCTTGTACCGGTTGAGCTTCTGTGGGACACTAATTATGCCTTTTTATGGAGGAATGTCAAACTAGCGAGTAGTAGTGAGAGCTAAGAGTTGTCTAAGGATGAGTAAAATTGGGAGTGATAAGTTGGTGTCATCAGACTATGGAAACAGGACATCTAGGACTGGATCTGAATTAAATCTTGGGGAACAGGACATTGTGCGCTTTGTTGGATTCCTAAATAAGGTAATCTATACTTGGGAGCGGCCGGCCTCAGTTGTGGATTATTTTTATTTTGGTTCTATAGACTGGGTCACCATATGATTGTTGAAGAAAATTTTGAGTAAGAGAGATGTATAGATTTGGCAATACTAAGATGAATATCCAGATTCTAAAGTAGTTATGGTCTAACACAAGGGTTGACATTAAAAAGATGTTTGATATGAAGATTGAATTGATTTTAGAATGTGGTTGTAGGAGTGATCTATGGTAGATGTGTTTTAGGATGGATCAATTTTGCTTAGTAAACTTTATGCTCCTTCTATTGCCTGGTGTAGCCATTAATATCTATGTTTTGAATCTGTTTTCAAGTAATTAGCTTAGTGATTAGACATCGAAAGTTTCTTGAAAGTTATCAGCTTAGGGGCAACTGCAGAATCATTCACCTTTGGAACAGAGTTAAAATTATTTTAGGTGGTTGAGTCTTTATTAGTGATGTAAAGACTAATTCGTAGTATTTTTTACCTAGGATAGAATTTATATTCTAGCATTCTTGGTTACACTTGGCAGCTTTTGGTTGCTTCTCTTGTATTCAGACTCCTCGTACATGCTTAGTAGTAGATAGCAAGAAATATTAATACACAGAGATAGTTGTTTTACAACTGTAGGCTGTGCATTATCTATTGAGCTCTAATCAATTAGCAATGGTTTTGCCCGTTTACCTTTCAGAGATAGAAGGTCACAGAACGGTTTATTAGCATCTAAACTGGACAAGTCACTTATATTAGCTAATAAGTGTAGTAGCATTTGAACTTCTATGAGAAACACTAATTTCTTTTGCCCCGCTGTCTGGTCATGGACTGATATTTTCATGGTCTATTTATTAGATATGACTTCAATTTATCTTTTGACAATTGCATTGGTATAGAGGAATATTGAACTATTGAGTAGTAGTGAGAGCTAAGAGTCATCTAAGGAGGGGTAAAATTGGGAGTGAGAAGCTTGTGTCATCAGTCTATGGAAACATGACATCTAGGAGTGGATCTAAACTAAATCTTGGGGAATAAGACTTTATGTACTTTGTTGGATTCTTAAGTAAAGATAATCTATACTTGGGATCAGCTGGCCTGAGTTGTGGATTAACTTTGTTTTGGTTCCATAGAGGGGGTCACCATATGAATTTTGAAGATAATTTTGAGTGAGAGAGGTATATAAATTTGGCACTCCTAAGATAAATATCCAGATTCTGAAGTAATTTTGGTCTAGTGTGTATTGGTGCATTGTCTCAAGGGTTGACATTGAAAAGATATCCAATATGAAGATTGAATTCATTTTAGAATGTGGTTGTTGTACGGCTGATCTTTGTTAGGTTTGTTTTAGGATGAATCAATGTTGTTTAATAAGCTTTTATTCTCCTTCCATTGACTGGGGTAGTCGTTGATATCTTTGCCTGGAATCTGTTTTCAAGTACTAAGGATAATTGGTTCATCCTGGAAGTTTCTTTAAGGTTATCAGCTTAAAGGCAATAGCAGAATCATTCTCTCGAGAACATAGTTGAATTCATCCACATTTTAGGGGGTTGAGTCATTATTAGTTATGTCAAGGATATATAAAATGTCTGAGAAGTTAATAAAATCTGTATTTGGAATTTGTTTTCATCTATCTTAGTGAGCTGTTTGACCTAGAAAGTGTCTTTGAGATTATCAACTTGAGGAAAATTACATAATTACTCGCTCCAAAAACATACTTGAGATCTTCCAAAGTTGTTGGTGGTTAACGACATTTATGGAATTTTTAAGAAAGTTTGTGCCTACAATAGAATATATTTTTAGACATTATCGGTTGGACCTGGCTGCTTTTGGTTGCTTTCTCTCATACTCATTTCTTATATAGAGTCCTTGTTCCTAGTATAAGTAAAAACATTTTGCTGGTGAGAGAGAGAGAAAGAGATGAATAATTTCAGAGGGGAGTCCTAGAGCTAGGGAGTTTAAGACGAAGATTCCAAAGATTCTTGAGAAGCAGTGTGCAGAAATGAAAACTATCTGTTATGTGCCACCACCTAAACTCATTCCTACTACTACTATTTAAATGCATCCCATCCATATCTGTTCTCATTTTTCTTCAATGAACTAATAAAGAAAGTTGTCTTTTCTGATGTGGGAGAGGAGAATTTGGGAGCCGTATGAAGAAGAAGTGGTTGAGATGAGGAGTCGAAGAAAAAAGTTCAATTTTTGTCAGGTTAATTTCTATTTTTCTCTTACTTTGTCAAGGTTTCTTTTAATTTGTTTCTTGCTTTTTTCTTTTTGGGTGAATTTCTTGCTGGATATTGTCGAATATTGAGTTGTTTTTGCATCTGTTGTTAATCTTTTATTTTTGCTCTTGATCGCATGCTGTCTGGGTTGGTTCTGGACTTAGTGGTGAGTTATTTGAGAAAATGTCTCTGTGATCATTCTTTCTGTTTGAAAGATGTCTCTCTCTCTTTTCTCTTCCAGTTTTCCTTTTGTAAATTTTACTTGCTGAAATTTCTGTCTTCTTGACCAAAGGTGCAGAAGTTGATATAGAATGATAGTTCCTCGATGTAAGTAAGGCCTTAGGCCAGAAGCTCTACCTTGTTGCAGAAAAGAAATAACTTGTAGGTTGAACAGCATAGCATGTTAATGATGATGATTGGTTGTTTCATACAGATTATTAAGAGGTCATGATGCTTGGTAACTCAAGACTCCATAAACAAGAGAATCAGTGTTGATGATAAGACTCTGTAATCATGATGCTTGGTATTAAAAGCTGAAAATCTAAGGCTGGCTGAAATTTAGTTTAGCTGAGATATTGAGCTTTTAGGTGTGCCTGTGTGTTTGAAGAAGCATCCAAAATACTCTAAAAAAATGATTGTAGCTTCATGCTTGGTCATCAGAATTTTTTATGCTGAATTTGCTGTAAGGTTCTAAGTGAGATAACAAGTGAAAATATTTCATTATGATTGATTAGATAATACTGTGTTTGGTTTGCAAATCAAAACAAACCAAAAGTTAATGAATGTTGGAATAAGGGACAGTGCTGCATTGGGAATTAATATTCATTTATTTAATGAGCTAACACCATTTACTCACTTTACATAGGATGGCTAGCGATATTAGATTAATGTCCTAATAACTTTCCTCACAATGTTCTTAAGAATAACTAAGCAGTCTACCAAAGGGAAGTGAAAAACTGAATCTGGCAAGGAGAGATTCAGACTGTTAGAAAGGGGCTATTTTTATGTTGAGCTACTATGAAGTGCATGACAAGAAAAAACAAGTATAGCTTATACAAAGCGTTGTAAGATTTCCAATCATGGCACAGTGTTTTGTAAGTACTTAATGAAAACTAATGAGCAAAATACCTTAGGATGGAAAAGTCAAACACTCATAAACCACAAAACCAGTTCTATATTTCTATTACAATTTTAAACACTCTTTCATCAAAACTATAGCAAGAAATAAAGAAATGATGAAATTCAAAAACAAAAATATAATATATGACCAGATTACACATCTGAATTCGTACTTCAATCTCAAAAAACTATTAAGCCTTGCCAATAGAAAAAAAGAGAAAGAAAGTACTTAGGGGAATTAATCAGTCCATCATACATCAAGTATTTTTTTCACACGAATTGTTTGAAGGATATACCATTTACTCTTGGATGGCTTATTTTATCTACTCTTATGAGTGTTTTTTTTGTAAGTCTCAAAGGGTAAAAGGTCTATTTATCAAACAATATGACGTTTGTGAGTTTTGAACTAATTTTATCACCGAAAAAAGGATTTGATGTATGATGAACCAATTTACTCCTCTTAAGTGCTTTTTTTTTGTTGTTTGTTTGTTGTTAAAGCTTTATAGTTTCTTTAAGATTGAAGTACTAGTTCAAATGTGTAATCTGTTTATGCATTACATTTTTGTTTTTGAATTTTTTTATTTCTCCATTTGTTGCTATACTTTTGATGACATATTGTATAAAAGTGTTGTAGAAGTGTAGAGTTCTATCGTCCGCTTTGTTGATTATTAATATTTGAATCTTATATTTTAAACTACTGTGGTTTTTTTTTTTTTTGGTGTTTCCTTTGGACTTACAAAATACTATGCCATGAGTGGGAATCATCCATGCTTTGTACTAATTAGTTTCTTGTATTTCCTTCCCATTCGACACAAACCTAGTTTTGTCTTCTTTAGTTAAAGAAAATACTAGAAAAAAAGGAGTTAAGGTTTTTGACCTGATAAAATGGATACTACGAACAAATACTGGTTTTCTGATATTTATTTAAGCTATAACTTGAAGATCTTGATGGAGTGCCCTGGATGATTTGAGTGAGGCTTCTGAAGTAGGAATCCAGGCATAGGGTGAGTTGAGTGAGCTGTGTTGTGTTGTGTGGAAAGACAAAAGTAAAAGAGGGAGACGAGGGATTTACTTTCACGTACTTCACTAAGCAGTTGACCTGGAAGTCTTTAAGGTATCAGTTTAAGGGAAATTGTAGAACCACTTACCTGAAAATCATGGTCGTAAACTTTGAAGATTTAGAAGTAACCTCAATATTAATGATTTTAAGGACCTATCCATGGATTTTTTAGAAATTCTTTTGCTTTATAAAGAATTTAGTTTTTAATGTTATGGATTGAACCTAGCAGCTTTTCATTGCTTCTGTCATGCTTATTTGTTTTTCCAGTCTAATATTCTTGTTTGCTGGTGGAGTGTGTGTTAGTGTGTGTGTTTGCGTTTGTGTATGTGTGTGAGAGAGAGATATGGACAGCTTGAGGGGGGAGGTCCTAGAGCTAGGGCTGTTCAAGGAAGGTGAGATTCACAAAATCAGTCTAAGGGAAATTGTAGAACCACTTACCTGAAAATCATGGTCGTAAACTTTGAAGATTTAGCAGTAACCTCATTATTAATGATTTTAAGGACCTATCCATGGAATTTTTAGAGGTTCTTTTGCTTTTAAAGAATTTAGTTTTTAAGGTTATGGATTGAACCTAGCAGCTTCTCATTGCTTCTGTCATGGTTATTTGTTCTCCAGTCTAATGTTCGTGTTTGCTGGTGGAGTGTGTGTCAGTGGGTGTGTTTGTGTTTGTGTATGTGTGTGTGAGAGAGAGATGGACAGATTGAAGGGGGAGGTCCTAGAGCTAGGGAAAGTTCAAGGAAGGTGAGATTCACAAAATCTTTCTTATCCCATGTGTGTTTGTATGAAATGTTGAATTAAGCCTCCTGCATATTTTGTAGCAGATATCAGTTTTATTAAGTAGTTGAAATTGAAGGCTGTCAATAACTTTATCAAGTCTATTAAAGGTTTTGCTCATTTGCCTTTCAGAAACACAGGTTTTATTTGCATGCAAACTTAACTAGTCACTTTTATTAGTTAGTTTATAAGAGTAGTAGAACTTGACCTTCTAAGAGACACACGTAGTTTCTTTTGCATGGATGCCTGGGTATTGGGTTGATCTTTTGATGATTGGATAAAATTTCAATCTTTATTTTTGACAAGTACGTTTCAATCTTTAGAGGAATACTGAACTACTGAGTCCTAGTGAGCAAAGAAGGCATTTCATTTTTCGTCCAAGGACAGGTTAGGTTGGGGACATGAGAAATTGGTATAATTACTTTAGGTAGCTCAAGCTAGGATTAGTCTCAGACTATCAAAAGCATGACATTGAGGACTGGATCTTGACTGAATCTTGGGATATGAGACATTGTGCACTGTGTTGGATTCTAAGATAAGGATAATCTACACCTGGGAGCAGCCGGCCTGAGTTGTGGATTAACTTTATTTTGGTTCCATAGAGTGGGTCTCCATGTGATTGTTGAAGAAATTTTTGAGTGAGAGAGGTGTATAGATTTGGCACTACTAAGATGAATATCCATCCAGATTCTGAAGTAATTATGGTCTACTGTGTATTTTCGCATTGTCGCAAGGGTTTGACGTATAAAAGATGTCCGACATGAAGCTTGAGTTGATTTTAGAATATGGTTGTGGAGCTGATCTTTGGTAGATGTGTTTTAGGATGGATCAATTTTGCTTAGCAAGGGTTATTTTCCTAACATTGTCTGCTGTAGTCATTAATATTTATAAGAATTTTCTTTCAAGTACTTAGCTTAGTGGTTTGACCTGGAAAGTTTCTTGAAGGTTGTCGGGCTCCAAACCCCCCCTCCCCCTGCCTTCCTTGTTCAATTCAATTGGTTTGACGTGGAAAGTTTCTTTACGGTTATCAACGTAGGGGCAATTTTAGAATCATTCACCTTAAGAACATAGTTAAAATTGTCTACATTTTAGGGGGTTGAGTCATTATTAGTGATGTCAAGGACATATCCATGAAATTTGTAGTATTTTGCTACCTAGAATAGAATATATTCTAGCATTCTATGTTACACCTGGCAGCTTTTGGATGCTTCTCTCTTATTTAGACTCCTCATACATGTTCTGTAGTAGATGGTGGTGTTTATGTGTAAGCCTTGGTAGTTTTATGTTAACAGGTATCTTGGGAGAAAAACATCTAGTCACCATATTATGAGTGACCAACTAGTATTTATAGGAGTACAAACCTAACAAACTATTTACAAGAATACTCTTACTAATTTATTATCTACAAGAATACTTATATTCTCTTAACACTCCCCCTCAAGTTGGAGCATATATATCATAAGCACCCAACTTGTTACAAATGTATTTCACCCTAGAGCCCCCTAAACTCTTGTTAAACAAATCAGCCAATTGATTTACAGACGGTATATGAGATGTCTTGATGATCCCGTCAAGCAATTTCTCTCGAATGAAATGACAATCAACTTCAATATGTTTTGTCTTTTCATGAAACACTGGATTAGACGCAATATGAACAGCAGCTTGATTATCACACACTAAATTCATAGGCTGTTTATGCTCAAACCCAAGTTCCAGTAACATGCTCTTCAACCAAACCAGTTCACACACAGTGTGAGCCATAGCACGGTATTCAGATTCTGCATTTGATCTGGATACAACTGTTTGCTTCTTACTCTTCCACGACACTAAATTACCACCAACAAACACACAATATCCTGTAGTCGATCTTCGATTTGAGGCAGAACCAGCCCAATCTGCATCACTATATCCTTCAATATCAATGTGTCCATGATTTTGATACAGCAACCCTTTTTCAGGAGCACTCTTAAGATACCTGAGAATCCGTATAGCAGCATCCCAATGACTAGTACGAGGGGTGTCAAGAAATTGACT